GACCGAAGTACACTGCTGAGGGGAGCAGCGGGCAGCAGGAGAGGTCTGCGCGCCATGTGGGGACCCTCCTCCGGTGGCCGGGGAGCAGCCGGGGATCGAACCGGCACCTCAGTGGCCGTGGGCAGCTTCGCAACCCAGCGCTCAACCGCTGCGCCACCGGGGAGGCCCCCAACTCTGAATTCTAACATCTGTAGTAAGGGGAGGGACAAGAGGCATGAAAGAAAGAAAGAATGGCGCCTAGGGAGCTTAAACTTTTACCTTTTGAAATAACAGATGAAACCAAAGGAAGCCAGTTAAGTCGACAAAATTGCTCTCCCTCTATTATTCATCTTTAATCTCCATAATCACCTTTAAAAGAAATGGCTACTCCTTCCCTATAGTTTTTCCAGGGTGTCAAGTCTGCAAATATCTAACCTATAAAATTGGCCTTGGCCCCACCTGCCTCCCTGGCAGATGAACTCTGCGCGTCTCACTCCAGCAGGAGGGTACAGCCTCATCTGGCTACAGCTGACACATTCTGCCCACCCCCCCACTTTGGATTCCCAAGAGAACCAATCAAAGACAGAGAATGTCAGAGTCAGCAACCTCTTCGGTCTTTAGGGCCTCTGCTGGGCTCAGCCGTGCCCATGGGGGATGTCTAATGTGGTCCAAGGGACAGGCAAAGGAGATTTAAAAATAAAAAAGAGTGATTGGGAAATATAGGGGAAAAATAATAAAGGGAGTGATAGAAAGATAAGATAAAGAACAAAGAAAGAAATGTTGCTATTTATTTAGATGCGAGTGGGCAACAACGACTACTTCACAGAGTCACTGTGTTATATCTGGGCTTTAATTATCCAACTCGGCATTCAATTCCACAAGCTCTTTGGGTTAGTGCTGGAGAACCAGGATTCTAATGCTAGCACAGCTCCCCCCCACCCCCGCCGCCCCCGCCGCAGTGCCCCCCCCCCAGAGCCCTGTCTGTTCCTTATCTTGAATTTGATCATCTTGAAGATACTTTGTGTTTTAATGGTTCTCCATTCCATTCCAAGCCTGTACCTCATTGAGAATCTGCTTATGGGTATGTTCCCTGATATGTTGTGTGTGTTAGTTCAGAGAATCTAGTCGTGTTAGCTGGAAGGGAGAACATCAGGAATGTGTGAGTGTGAGTGTGTGTACAAGAGGACACACCCAAGTCCAAGGGTTAGTTAGCTAATTAGTAAAGACAAGGCTTCTGGCAAGGTGTGGAAAGTCCGCATTATCAGGTCACTGAAGTGATGAGCCCAAGAGAGCACCTTGTGTCCATCTCTGCCTTGGGGTGGCACGGGACTTGCTTTCCTGGGCCTGGCAGAACACACAGAGCCTGGTTCCTGGCACCCGCCGGATGCATCCTCTCTCCTCCCACAGTCCTTAATGAAGTGTGCAGCTCTTGTCCTCATTAGGCCTCAGCATCGTCAATAAAAGAGTCAATAAACCCGGTTGATGGGGTTGGGACTGAGGGGCTGAGAGGCAGCGGACACACATCCACAGGGCAGACGTCAGCTCCACCTCGTTGTGACCCAGCAGCCGGGATCAATAACCAACTAGGACTAAAGCCCAAGAGCCGCCCCTGCAGCCTCCTCCCCAGGCCCATTGCACCCAGGGTAGAGCAGTGCCAGCTGCTTCTGCTTTGCTTGCAGTTGTTCCCACGCCGTTCTGGGTGCCAGATGCTTTGTTTCTTCCAGATTGAACCCTTTGGACACCCCATGGATGCATATTTAGTGAGTGCCCACCTGGCATGAGAACATGTAGACGGCATCGCCAGGCAGCCTGGAAGCTGGCCTGGGCGCTGTTTTCTGTGTCTTCTGTCTGCTGACAGTGTGTGAGGGGCCCCCATGGGCCAGCAGTATGTTTTCTGCATGTTGTGTTGTGGACTCCATTCCTGGCTGCTCTGCATCTCTTTAGATACCCTTATCTTATCTAATTACAAGGAATTTCAGATTAATTTCATGGCCTCTGCTCCAAAGGACTTCTTATCTGCAAGGGCCTTGTATTTTTAACCTTGTCATTCTTTTGTTGTTTGCCTTTAAGGGGCAGGCAGCTAAGAAGGGGGGTCCTACGATCTTGCTGGAATTGGGGCTGGGGGAGGGGGAGTAGAGAGAGGCCGACAGACCTGGGATTTGTGTATTCCACTCCATCCCCCTGCCTGTGTGTGGAGACAGCTGGCTGCTCACTTCCATGACAGCCACATGGTATCCAGCCACACAGAACAGGACTAGGGCAGGGACTCATCTGCTGCCAACCTCTCCAGATCTCTTTGATATTTCCGACAGAGCAGTAAAGGACTCTTGACTATCACGTCTTGCCTTGCCTCTCTCCACCTCCTCTAAGACTCCTTGGTGTGGTTTCCATGGCTACTCCCAATCAGATTTGGCTTCCTGCGAAATTGGATTTCAAAGGAGGACAAGGCTTCAAAGGAATTTGTCCATTTAACAGAATGTCATTAGGAGTGAGGCTGACTGCTGAACCAGGGTCCTCAGATGATTAAGGAGGGGCTACGCTCATGTGTGAGGCAGGTTTCTGTCTGCAGTGAGGAACCTTGATGCAACATGACAATGCCGAATTGGAATCTGCCAGTCACCCACTGCACACTACCCAACTCTGCACCTCCTCTAAGACCCAGATGGATGTAGAATATGTACACGGGGAGCTGTTGCTGCTCCCTCGCTGTACAGAAGGTATGACAGGCAGTGAGAGCTGAGAGATGTGCGATTACCTGGGCTTATGGCTCTTTATCAAACAACTCATTAGCTTGTAGCCTATATTAGCATTTGACAAATATCCTTGAAGAAGAGGGGAAGAGTGTCAAGTTTCCTTTCACTGAGGAGGGAGAAGCAAGGCAAGGTGCTGAGGTTACCTATAGGAGGGACTTTGTTTCCCTGGCTGTTTTTAGGATAATTTTAGATTACAACAGAAATGCAACGACAATGCATAAATTCCCATCTATCCTCCCTTGCTCTGGAACACAAGCCATTAGTACTCAAAAATGATTCCAGAGCAGCAACAGTATTATAAAAAGAGCAATGAGTGTCGAAAAAATGCCCCAGCCTGGTACCTGGTACTTGCTCTGGAGCCTGAAGGACTGTTACCTTTCCCAGGGTAAGAAGGAGGAGCAGGAGTCAGATTCCCCAGGTACTCCTGCCCTGCTACCCCTCACCTCCACCCAGTTTCCTGTAACTTTTGGGTACTTCATACGATCTTGAAACCAAGACGCCATTCCTCTTCAGATCACATGGGCCTGCAAAGAACCCCTGAAACCACTGAACCCCTGAAAGAATCGAGGCCCCGACCTAGGGAGCACACTAGGCCTGGAGGCAGGCACTGCTACCATGAGTCCTTCTGGGCTGTCCCCATATACATGGTTCAGTCATTATTTCCCTTGAAGTTGATGGAAAAACCACTTCACCCACTTGCTCTGTGTCCTCTCTCTCACCACTCCCAACCCTCCCACATAGTCTGTGGGCAGTCTGAGCAGAGACACTCCATGTTTTACAAAGAAGGAAAACCCGCAGAGGTGAAATGAGAGGTTCCAAATCACATACTGTGCTTGGCTCAGGGTAGGCCACTCCCCACTCAAAATCTGTCAATGGCTCCTCCACGGGCACTCAACAGAGTTCTGACTTTCAAGTCCATTTACAATAGAACTTCAAATTTTCTCGACTAGAATTTCCTTACACTATCCAGTAAAAGAGGATTATTAACTGTTCCTCAAACAGAAGACTTTTCCATCGTTGTTCACTCTGGCCCTTCCACCTGAAAGTGTTCTGCCCCTTCCAAGTCTGGAGTGTCTGGGTCCATCTTCAACATTACACGCACCACTAAACACACACACATACACAGTTCTCCCCTGTTCTTATATCCATCTCCTTCCCTTGATTGCCCAAGGCACTCTGTACCATCATCATAGCACTAGCTTTATTGTACTTTTAAAAAAGACAAACTCTTTATTTTGAGATAATTGTAGTCATGGAAGTTATGAGAAGTAATAGTGATTCTGTCTACCCCTTGCCCAGAGTCCCTCACCAGTAACATCTTGCAATATTAAGGTGCCATACACTTTGTTTTTTGTTTTTTTTAAAAGATTTATTTATTTATGCATACAAGAGCTGGGGTACAGGCCAGAGTGCGGGAAGTGAGAGGATTCACCAGAGACAGAGTGGGGAACAGAACAGGCAGATCTACTGAAATAGACTGCTGAGGGGAGCAGTGGGCAAGGCAGGAGAGGTCTGCTGCGCCATGTGGGTTGCTCCCTGGCCAGTTGGGGCTCGAACTCGTGCTGCAGAGGCTGTGGATTGCTTCATAGTGCGTTGCTTTACCCCTTGTGCCACCAGGGAGGCCCAGGTGCCATACACTTTGAATGAGTGGGAGAGGACACTTTCCTGGGTTCTCGTCTTCACTCTCCTGCCTCTGTCAGCACTTAGAGGAAAAGGGCTCTGTTCGCCACTCGACAGGGCATTGGGGCCTCCTGTTGCAGCCCTACCGCTGATTACCCAAATGTTGGCGCCTCTATATTATTTATTGGGACTTAGGGTCATTTCCTTTGAACATGGTGGTTTGCCTGAGAGAGCTAACATTTTCTGGGCATGGAGCCGCTCTACTTGGCGGAGACCCATCTCTTCCTCGGCTTCTGCCTCCTGGCGCCCCATTTCGGGCTCTCTCCGTGGTCCCTTGAGGCCAACAATCCCGCGCTCGCGAAGGCGGCCTCCCGCGGCCGCTGCTCCTCCGAGCCAGGCCAGGTGTCGGCTCTGGGTGGGGGCCCTGCGCGGGCGGCGTCCTCGCCCCCCAGCCTTCCAGCTCCCAAGCCGGGCGGCAGTGGCGCGCGCGCCCGCGCCCAGGTATCCCCCGCCCGCCCGCCCGGGGCGCGCCCCCCGCCCGGCCCGCGCGCCACTTCCTGAGCGCGCCCCGGGGCGCGGCCCCGCCCTGCGGCGCGGCCCCGCGGCGGCGGCGGTGAGTGAGGCACAGGTGCCTCCCGGCCAGCAGCCGCCTCGGGCCTTCACGGCCTTCTCCCGCCTCAGCCTCGGCCTCTCCAGCGCCCCGCAAATGCAGGCCGCCGCCCTCCCCGAGGAGATCTGTTGGCTCCTGGAAGGTAACGCCGGGCCCAGCCCCAGGCTCCCCCGACCCCTCCGGGCGTCCCTCCAGGGCCAAGCTGAAGGCGCGCGGGGAAGGGGACGCTGCAGGGGCGCGCAAGGCCAGGCTTTCTTTTTAGCTCCATCACTCACCACCTTCTGGAACCCTCCATCCTGCAGAACCAGGTGTTCATCCTCCCGCCTCAGAGTCTCTTTCACACCCAGCAGTTCCTCATTTTCTCTTTCCCCCAGGCATCTGCTGCCCTCCACTTAGCTACACGCTTCTAAACTGCTCCAGGCCACTTTCAAGGGTCCCTTTCTCCTCAGATTTCCTCCTGGGTCTGTAGGTTTCCCCTCCTTCGCCAGCCTTGACGTGGTCACCTCTCACAGAAGACCCTCACCTCCCTGCTTAGAGCCTCCTGCCGCTCTCCAGGGCGCAATGGGGGGCTCCTGGGCTCCTGTTGGCCAGGTGTGGCCATTGACCATGAGTGCCAGCACCCAAGGCCCAGTCTCCCTTACCAGCTTGCAGGCCTCCCAGTTTCTGGTCATCCACCCAGAAGGGCCCATGCTGTTACATTTCTTCCTTTTCTAGAAATGCCCCAGTGTGGTGTGTTCACCTACAGTGCCTAAGCCATCCTTCCAGGAGTTAAGGCCACTTACTAACACTTAGTAACACTCAGCACATGCTTCCAGTGCTGGAAAGAGACTTCTTGCTAACGGCCCTATCATCTCCTCCCTTCACTTTTTCTGGTGAAAGTAACTTGCTTTCCTGTAACTGACCTTCCTGGAAGGACAGAGCCTGGAATCTGTGATTGCATAAGGGTCTCAGGAGGAAATTGCTCGGAATTAAGCCTTTTGGCATCCAAGTGACATTTTTGACACATATTTAACAGATGGCCTGCTTTGGGCAGGTCATTATTTTTGGCAAGCAGGACTTTTTTCAGTTTCTCTCAATTTAATTGGTTTTATTTCTGCGTTATCTTGTTGTCTTGGTATAAATGCCTCCTAATCAAACAGTTAGCAGGGTCTCTTGGGCTCTGTTTGTAGCACTGTTTCCATTCTGGATTGCTCCTATGTTAAAGCTGTCAACTAGGTATTTCTTTTGAGGTGAAGTTTGCAAAATCTATTTTAGTTATGGCCTCAGTAAATCTAAACTTTCAGAGTAGAAAAGTATTTGCAGGGTAAAAGAGGGTGATCTGGGTGTCCCCAATGAAGCAACTTGTAGTTTCCCTCTGTTGGTTAAATATTCTGTAAGAGGGTGTGTCTGGTTTCCAGGAGAGAAGAAAGTGGCCCAAAGTTTAGTTCTGCCCTTGCATTTAAAGATACAAACTGATTCCTTCCTTGATATCTGTCATTTGATGAGAGGAAACGTAATTTACGAGCTTGTTAAACTATACTTCCGTTTTGTGAGTTGCTTTGGTAGGAAATCCCTTTTTCATTTTCAGAGGCTTGCCGTGAAATCCATTCCTTCAACATTTTTGACGTGCAGTTCTTTATTGTTCAAAACTGACATTTTGGTAAACAACTCATTTCTGCACCTGCCACCTTCCTTTAGCTTAGATTATTTTCTTGTTAGCTGACTGTTTTTAATTGAAGTCTTCAGATCTCCTTCTAAAGCAGAACCTTTGTTTGTTGACAAGTAGAGCAGGGTATGAATGGAGATTAATTGCATGTCACATACTTCTGTATCAAACTTGCTGTGTTTTAACAATCTCTGTTGGTGCTCTGGTGTTTAGAATATAGGGAGGACTCTGAGATTAAATTTTAAGGAGCTTTGTTGGTTAATACATTTCTTTAAAGCCTTTTTTTTTTTTAAAGTTTGCAGTTAGTGTCTGAATCTGAAGTAAAGTGGAATTCAATCATTAATTCTATTGAAAAATGTTTGAAGAATTTGTTTTTGAAAGGTTTGTGTAATCATAGCAACATATTGGTTATAGGTTTTGTTTTTTATAGAACAATCTCTGGTATAGTCCTGCCGAATTATTCATTGTGCTACAGATAATTTGTGGATATTAGAAACCCATAATGACTATCAATTTATTGTCTGTTGCTATTTACTTGTCTCCCCCCACACATGCTTTTTCAGGTTAACTGTTGACAATTAGAAAATATGAAGGTCCTGCTCTCTCTATTGTCACTCAGTGGAGGGAGTCACAGGGTGAGAGAGCTGCCACTTTAGTGCTGCCACATGGCCATGGGGTGGAGTTTCCACAGTGAATTACTACTTTCATAAACCAAGGCAAAAGCATTTGCACAGTGATTTAGCACTGGCCATCACAGCCATAACTTAAGCATTTATTTATTTATAACTACATGAGCATAAGTGACAGGGGTGTTTTTTTGACGTAATATGTGTGCTTTTCAAAAATAAAATTTGCAAGGCATTGTGAAAGGTTTATGCCAAAATTTTGCATAAGAAGGAAAGGAACAGAAATACTGAAGGTCTAAAATTAACTTTGTTTAAGGATAAAATTTTTAACATTTGAAAATGTTTCATGTGACCCAGAAACTCTACTTCTAGGAATCTGTTGCTGAAATTAAAGGATGTGAAGTACATGCACAATGATCCATTCTAAATGTCCATGAATTGGGAAAGGTGGGGTGATGGTGTGAATGAATTATCCATCTCAGGGAATATTTTACAGCCATTAAAAAGGATATGGTGGATCGTATAGATTGGCTTGGAAAGTCTGTGACATTTTTTTTAAAGATTTATTTATTTATACATTTAAGAACTGGGGTACAGGCCAGAGGTGTGGGGGATGAGAGGATTCACCAGAGACAGAGTAGGAACCAGAACAGGTGGATTGATTGAAATACACTGCTGAGGGGAACAGCGGGCAAGTCAGGAGAGTTCTACTGCGCCATGTGGGTTAGCTCCCTGGCCAGGGATCGAACTCGTGATGCAGAGGCTGCCAATAGCTTCATAGGTTGCATCTTAATCCCTTGCGCCACCAGGGAGGCTCCATGACATATTTTTAAGATGAAAGAGCAAAGTGCACAATAAAATATTGTTTGTTTGAAAACAACTACCACCCTCTTATGTTATATATGTTTGTGTAATTGTGTAAGCCTAGGAAGAAGTATATGTTCTATTTGAGATATGCACACACACACACACACACACACACACCAAACAGTTAACATTAATTTCCTTGGGAGGGGAATAAGAAAGTAGACAAGAAGGTTATTAACTTTATTTCATACATCATGCTTGAATTGTGACAGTGATGACCATATATTACAGATAGAATCCTGGAGAGGTCAGAGTGCTAATGGACCACGAACCAGGATAGTAATCATGCTTTTTTCTTTTTAGCTTTGGGTGTATATTGGAAGGTAGAAAGTTTTTTTCAAATGCTTTATTTGATCTTTGGCAGATGTTAAAGCAGTGAGAGGTTCTATTGTAACTCAGGAAACAGCTTCCTCAGATAGACTCTGTCAAGTTCTCTTATAGAAATAGTAACTAGTCTATATCAGCAAATAAGTACATTATAGATAAGTCAAATGAAAGGCGTCTACTGCCTTACTGAAAGAGAAGGAAATATTCAGGTCTGTTTTCAAGTAATCAGGCTTTGTAGAAGTTATCTTTTTGTTTTCATTTTATGATAACCATGCTGAAAACAAAAACAATGGCTGGCAGTTTGCATAATCTTTGTCTCACAGATATAAATGCAATCAGTTTCTTCCTTGTCTTTCTAGCCTTGCTTTTGAAGTCAGAAGCTTAAGAGGCAAGTATGAGGAGATAGAATAAGTACTCTTCGGTTCACAATGAATCCTGTGTGGCGGAAATGAACCAACTGATTTTACCCTAATGGTAGTATCCAACTACCTACTTGGAACCTAACTCCAAATTCCTGCTAGGAATATGGATTAAAGCCAAAATAACATCCACAGCCCCGATGCACTTATGAACAATTGTGCCCTCATGTTGATTGTGATATGCTTATGGTTATTTTTAAACTTCCTTAGAAAGAAGCAATCATTAATCATTTTCTTCCAGATTGTTTTCTAGATTTGTGTTGGTCTATTGAAAATAGAAAAAATCCTTTTCAATATAGTAAAATCCACAACTTTGTGGAACTTCCAAGACTTGCTCTGGATAGCTGGGGATATTCTCTTGAATCACTCTTTTTTTTTTTTTTAAAGACTTTTTTTTTTTAAGATTTATTTTTATTTATTTATACAAGCACTGGGTTCAGTCAGAAGCGCAGGAGGGTGAGAGAATTCACCAGAGCCAGAGCAGGGAGCAGAGGAGGCAGAAGGACCGAAGCACACTGCTGAGGGGAGCAGCGGGCGGCAGGAGAGGTCTGCGCGCCATGTGGGACCCTCCTCCGGTGGCCGGCCGGGGAGCAGTCGGGGATCAAACCGGCGCTGCAGAGGCTGCGGGCAGCTTCGCAACCCAGCACTCAACCGCTGCGCCACCGGGGAGGCCCTTGAATCGCTCTTTTTATTGTAAACATTTGTGATCAATTTTTTCCCCCTAAAGTGCATTAGGAACTTTTCTTCCTGAAGCAGCCAGTTCAAAGGCAATTCCTTTGAACACTTTTACCCAGAGTTGTTAAAGTCATTACTATTGTCATCCTTTATGGGCATATATTGAATTGCTTAGGAATATTTGCCATAATTGCCCTGGAATGTTTTATGACTGTCTTTGTCTGCTTTATATTTTTATTTCTATCACTTTTGTCTCCTGTTAGGCCAGGCTACCACTCTGCACTGCTCAGAGTGGTAACCCCAGTGCAGATTATCTGTAACCCCAGTGCAGATTATCTGGGACATCAGATAACCAAGTTTGGAATTAAGATATGTGTAAAAGAAGGTATAAAGGACTCTCTTGAGGAATACAATACCAAAACCTTTAGATGTGGACTTGGTGGCATGTATTTTTGGTTGCTCAGTTATTTTTCCATTTACCTTTTGATACTGGATATTTTCCGGATAGATAAGGTCATCGGTCAATTAAACTCTGAAAGTTGAGATCTGACCATACTATCTCTTGTTTATGTTAAATATTCCT